TCTCGACCAATCACGTCCGAAGGGGTAAAGACAGAAGAAGAGCAGGATCAAGGCCACAATCCACTGCGCAGCATACATCCCCCACAACAGTATCGGGCTCAGTGGTGCGGCGGCCGCTTCAGCATCCGGATGTGTGTTGAACGACAGAGCTGACAGCAGCTGACTCACAGGCATCCCAGCACCTGTGGATAGGTGGGAGGGCGATCAAATTATCGATTATTTTTGGAGGCGAGGAGAATCAGAGGAATATCCGTCATCTTCTTTACTGGTCATGGCACCAACATGAAAGTCATACGGCCACATACCCCAAAAACTTAGCTCAGAGAAAGGTGGAGGAGCAAGGTGGTATGGATCGCTCGCAATAGAGGTAGCTACTGTGCAAGTCTGCCTCAAGGTCAAATAATTCACACGCACTTCACTGGTATCGCAACTGCTCCATGTGGTGCAAGGTGGACGTCGTCGCTCATGATTCCCACAGAGCCAAACTTAAGTGCGATCAACCAAATTTATACTTGAAAACGACGGCGTAATAGTGGGTCTAGTTGTAATCTTAGATGTGTGTTTCTAGTTTATCGCGCTACTTTTTAAAATTCAGTAGCAGCACGTCACGGGTAAATGAGGTGCAGCACTTCGAATCTGACTAAGTCGATAAGCTTACACGATCGCGTGCTTACTGCTGTAAGACTCTAAGGGGAACGCAGCGTGAGGTGTGAATGCGTAAGGGAGATTTTCTTGTCAAAAATCCTTGATTTTTAGGGGCTAGGGCACCGACTACTATAATAAGAGCATTTTAAGAGGACTGGTGAAGAGGCCTATCAAAGTAATGAATGGATGCAGACACGGTGAGATGACGGAGGAACAGAGGAAGGTGTGGTGGTGATGGAGAATCCAAGATCTATGCCAGACTGTTACAGACAGCAAACGCAGACACGTCAGCGGTTGTAAGGAGTTGCACCAGACACAGCAGCTGATGGAAAACGGTGATGGGTTACACACGTACACAACACTGTCTATCAAGTCACGACTGACTAATCAGAAAGTGACGTGAATTTTAGAAGGCATCAACGGACTCCTCATCGTCAGTTCGATGCGAGGAACTGGGTTTTGGCCAAGAACAAAGGGGGCATGGAAGGTTGGAGTCGAAGAAACAAATACGCGCCGCAGTGAGAAGCAAAAGGTTTGAGGGCATTCTACAGCAAAACTGCTGCAACGCTCACTGCTTTTACACAAACCGCAGTGCTTAAATGAAAGTTCGTAATTGATTGACATGAAGCAATCCAAACGGTACGATAGCAGCTCTGGGCTGGGAGCTCTTAAAGCTACCCGAGTTTTCGGACCGATAAAAATTAACCACTTCAGTAGAATGCCTGCACACACTCAACTCCATTCTTAGAAATGACGCACAGGCTTCACTCACCCAGGTTATTCTGACGGACATTTCATCTCCTTGAGCTTTTGTGTTTGTGCGTATTTCACTCTTTAAAAGCTGCAATTATGAGAATCTAGTAGGATTCTTCGCGTAATCTAATAGCTGCAGCTTAAGTACTGCAGCTTGCGAAGTATATGACGTGAGGACAGCGTTTAAAAGCATATGAGAGTCAGAAACCCTTTAGAAATCCACAACATTCCCCTTCTTAAAATACAATAACCCAAAGAAGCGCAATTACCTATGAAGTGAGCATAAAGATTAAATTTTAGTCCATTCCTCATAGGAAATAGAGTTAGATTTCCACAACTAGCGAAAATAGAAGGATTCTGGCAAGGCTAATGACTGTTGAAGGCTTACGTAAGCAGTCCTTTACATGTGAAAGCAAGTCATTCGATGCGGAAGCTGGTTTCAGACACATTGCGATCGTCCATTTCGACTATGTTCCCAGTATGCTCCAGAACAAGGGGGTGCAGGGACGGTGACTTGCGTATGAATTAGTTTAAAGAGATAGTAGACTTACGCAGAATCTACCGCACTCTCTCTTTCCTCATCCACCCGGATCCGGTATCAAGACACAGTCAAGAAGACCGGAGGTGGGATCGAGCGCAGGTGGCTGCGCGGCCGAAGCCGCCCTTAGGCGTGCCAATAAGCCTCCCCCCAGCATTTTCGGCATTTTTTATCAGCGTGCAACCCGAATAACGGCTGCCGTACCCTGATCTGGCGGTAGATGACGCACAGGTGGATGCTGAAGCGGGCCTCAGCGAAGGCTACTTTCAAAATCAACTAGTCTAACTAGTTAAAATGGAAGTTAGAAAGTTATTAGTAACTCCCTTAGTCACTTTTTACTGAATAAATACATTA